AATATAAATGCAAACTGTGTGGGTGTACAGTGTTATATTCTTCAGCGAGGGTGTGCGTCAGCTGCACCATGGAGCATGAGGAAGTGAATTCAGTATTATTCAATGTTTTTTGTTAAATTACCTTGTATTAAAGAACCAAGTTTATATTCTATTTGCCTTAATGCAAAACCAACTATTAATTTTTTATTGATTTTTTTTCTTTAGGATGAAATTTTCGATATGGTGAAGCCAAAAGATCCTTACAAAATCTCCCTTCAGGACTTAATCAACAGCAGCCAAGGAGACACAGTTGCTAGCATTTTAATTGATCTTAATGGCTTCTGGACCTATGAGAACAGAGAGGTTCTTGTAGCCAATGATAATGACAGTGCAACAGACCTTGATGACACATGACTTAAGAGGAATAAATAGACTGTATCCATGGAGATGTGCCCAACTGATACAGTGGCAGTATGAAACTGAACAAAATCTTCATTACCAAAATCCATGAAACTTCCATGTAGCCCAATGGGCAAAATTAAAGCTTTCTACAAACTTATGCAATGGATCATTTTGAATCTAAAAAAAGATACAGGAAGACAGACACTTATTAAAAATATGCAATTAAATAGGTAGAGACTTATTAGAACATTTACATTTATTGAACTAATTCCTGGATGTACAATAACACTATGTAACGAAATTTGAAAAATGTTCTGTTCCTGGTTTGAAAGTGTTCTTTCCTGTTTAATTGTGAAGTACTTACTTTGAAAGCAGTTGTATTGGAGGAACTTCATTTTTGTGACTGCCACAAACTATGTTAAATTGATTAAGACTCAATGAGATAGATATTCATTGAAAAACTTTAGAAAAATGTGCTGCAGGATGTCCCGTAAATACAAAAGTTTTTGCAGTTTAATAAACGTTTTCCATGTTTTATGATAGAGCCAATTAGGAAATGACATTTATAACCCAGGAACAAAAATAGTATTACACAGTGTAATAAGACCTCTTACTGGACAAAGTATATTATTTTAGACATTATGGGCTTGAATGGCTGTGCACCACTGGATTGTCCTTGCTGAGTGTGCCAACTTAAGAGTTTTGAGTTAAAAACTGTCACTCAGACCTGGGTTTGCTTTAACATCAGAGAAGCATTTTGAGTTGAGTGTTGTGCCAGAGAGAGTACTATAGTGAGAGAGTACAGGGCTTTAGGGCTTCAAGGAGGCAGCCTTCATGCCTCATGCTCATGTCTGCTTTGGGAAAGTGTGGTCTGCTTTGTTCTTTGGGTTAGTTGGTTTTGTGTGCTTTTTTATTCCTGGTTTCTTTGTCGTGTCGTCTGTGAAATGAGCACATATGGGTCTTCTTGTGCGCCTGCGCAAAAAATCGGAATATTCTAGAGTTTTACTAAGTTTTTAAACCAATTAGAAACCCCGCCCACCACCACCCCTCCCCCCCTGGCCGTATAAGAGGCCCCACGGCATGGTTTCACTTTAGTTCCTTTTCCGTGCGACAGCAATATCTTCGGTCTATTCTTTCCTCTGATTTCTGGCTTTGAACTATATTCTAACTGACGACGCTGATCTTCTCCTGCCCTGACTCGGACTGACTGACCATTCTCAGGCTAGATGTCTACTTTATATTTTAAAAACTGTTCGGCCTGCGGGACTACGCTCCCTGATGCCGATAGGCACTCTAAATGCCTTTTGTGCTTGGGCGAAACTCATAGCCCACAGACTTGTGAAATCTGTAAAAGTTTCACCACTAGGGCTCGTAAGAGCAGAGATGCTAGGCTGAAAGCTTTGTTATATGAGAGAGCATTGGCCCCGGAGGCTCCTTCTAGCTCCGCGCGCCACGTGGCTGAGCCCAGGCAATCCTCCCCCAGCACACAAATAGAGCAGCCTCCCTCTCCGTCAGGAGATAGGCTTGACTCACCCATCCCCTCCGCTCCTTCCACGGAGCCTCTGAGGAAGAAATCCAAGCCTTCTAAACAAGCCTCTAAGTCAGGCAAATCAAAAGAAAAAAATGCTAAACAGAAAAAGGGACGGCAACTCACTGGCAATCAGCCCTTGAGCCCTCCTCCTCTGGATCCGATGCCTCAGCCTCTTCCTCCCTCCCACCAGGAGCAGGAATCGCTGGCTTCCTTCTTAAACATTGAAAATCCCCCCCACCTTCCCCCCCTTGAACTCCTTTCCACTCACCTTCATGRCCAARCCTCTCCGGATCCGGMGATATCGCCRCCTCYTCTCCCTCCTTCCCARCCCTCTCCCCCTCCCAACCTGRTCAGCCTTGCCCCTTCRGTACCRCTGATCWATACTCCYMTRGATCCGCCTTCRCGCAGGGAGCGCTCCCCGYGGCYCCGTCGCTCCRCCTCCCCTGATGAYTCTCGGAGCCCTTCTCCGCCCCCKCAGAAGCGCRTGCGCTCCCACTCGCCGYGCCAACCTCTTCCTTATCCTTACCCTGAATACCCTTATCATCTCTACCCTCCCCCTCCCCCTCCATATCCTCCCTATCCCTTCTACTATCCCCCTCCAGACCACTATAGGGACCATGGGCTCACTGATCCCCAAAGAGCTCTTTATCCCCAACCTCCACGTGTGCCTCCCTCAGCCACCGCTACTCGCCCACTCCCTCCACCACACCCCCGGGAAGAAGACCCTCCCGCGGATGAAACCCCTCTCCCTCAGCTTGACTCTGAAACAATCGACTTAGAGTCCCATGAGGACACTCCTGCCCTCCCTGACCCCCAACCTGACACTGATTTCACTCCTCAACAACTCCAAGACTTTAAAAACTTTTCAGCCTTACTGATAAGACTCTCTAGAGCCCTCAACTTAGCTATTCCTGAACCCTCTGATACGGTTCAAGATCCTTGCTTTACTACCTCTGAACAACAACCTCCAGTCTCTACCTCCCTTCCCACCTTACCTTACCTCTTAAAAATCCTAAAAACAACAGGAGTCGCACCATCCATGGTGCCAGCCACCCCCAAGCGAGCAGAAAATCTTTATCGGATTGACCTTACGTCACAGTTGGCTTTCCAAGATGCCTAAGGCAAATTCCATAGTGACAAAACCAAAACCTATACAAACTAACCAATCTTCCCCTTCTGACAAAGAGGGAAGGAAGCTTGACACTATGGCCAAAAAATTCTACTCCTCAGCATGCCTCTTTGCACGCATGGCGCATTACGGGGTTTATATGAGTGTTTATCAAACCCACCTCTGGAACAAGCTGACTCCTTACCTAGATTTATTATCTGCCACAGACCAACCACTGATTAAGGCCTTCCAACAGGAAGCTTTACTACTATCCAAACTCCAAAAAGACCTGGCTAAAAATACTGCTGACACTTCTGGCAAGCTCATAGCTGGTTCAGTGGCCTTACGTCGCCATGCATGGCTTCGTGCCGCCATTCTCTCCCCGTCAGCCCGCACCTTAATTGAAAACCTTCCAATGGATGAAGCGGGCCTGTTCAATCCAGATACAGATTCTCAACTCAAACATTCTCATGAGATGAAACAAACAGTAAACAAATATGACCAGCAGCCATTTCCATACCAGCAAAAGCAGAGATAGGGACCCTACTACCAGCGGCCTCAATTCTACCACAGACCTTACTACTCTTCCTTCTACAGAGGAAGACGCCCTTACTCACCGGCCACATCTACAAGGAGACCACTTCTTCCTGCCAGGGGTCAGTACCGCGGTACCAGACCGTCTAACAATAACAAACGTCGTTTTTAGTAAGCATCCAAATCCCTCTTCATCCCTTTGGTGATTTGGGAAGAAGTAACCTCCCTTCTACAAAAGGGAGCTATTTCTCAAATTTCCTCCTGTGAAGCCTCTTCATGTTTCTTCTCCCGTTATTTTCTTGTAGACAAGCGGGATGGAGGTCTTCGCCCCATCCTAGACCTTCGGAAGATCAATACCTTTAGCATGCCCCACAAGTTCCGGATGGTCACCCTACCTACCATACTCCCTTTCCTCCCGGAAGGGTCATGGCTAGCAACCATAGACCTCCGGGATGCATACTTCCATATCTCAATTCGGCCCCAGCATCGCAAATTTCTGTTTTGCGATAGATGACTGTTTTTTCTCGTTTAATGTGCTCCCTTTCGGATTGTGTACCTCTCCCAGAGTGTTTACTAAATGCATGTCTGTAGTAGCAGCACACCTACGCCAGCAAGGGGTCACGGTTTTTCCGTACCTGGATGACTGGCTTTTTTGTTCTAAATCACGTTCTAAATTGTCATCTGACATCCATTACACTTTATGTCTCCTACAGGAACTGGGCCTCATTGTGAATCAAGAAAAATCCCACCTCACCCCATCCCAACGGATCCAGTTTATAGGCGCTGTCCTCGACTCTACTCTCCAAAAGGCCTATCTCCCAGAAGACCGCCTAGCCAACCTCCGTCAAGCCATTCTGGGCCTTCAAGGCCGCAAATGCGCCTCTGCATGGGCTATCCAATCCATCCTTGGCCACATGTCATCTACCACCAGTGTTACTCCTTTTGCCCGCCTGCGGCTAAGGCCCCTCCAAAGTTGGTTCCTTCAAGTGTTCCGCCCTCACAGAGACTCCCAAAACACTATCCTCCACCCCCCCCCAATCGGTCCTCAACTCCCTCTCATGGTGGATAAGTCAACACAATGTGAACAAGGGAATGCCCTTCCAAACACCCAAACCGACCACGGCCCTCACGACTGACGCCTCCACGTCCGGGTGGGGGGCGCACATAAACGACCTCCAGATCAGCGGCCGCTGGTCCGGGTTGGAACGCCAACTTCACATCAACGCCCTCGAACTCATCGCGGTAGAGAAAGCTCTTCGGGCCTTCAGCCCGATCATATACAACCGCACAATTCAAATAGTGACGGACAATACCACCGTCAAATACTACATCAACAAACAGGGAGGAACTCATTCCCAGACCCTTCTGTCCATATCAACCCGCATCTGGGAATGGTGCATCAAAGAGAAAATATTCCTGGTTGCCATCCACCTACCAGGACAGGACAGGACAACACATTGGCCGACTCACTAAGCAGGTCCACAAGGACCAACCACGAGTGGCACTTACACCCTTCAAAGTTCAAAATGATTTCCAACCTCTGGGGCACACCCCAGATAGATCTCTTCGCATCACCAGCAAACACACATTGCCCCCTGTTCTGCACGAGGCTCCACCCTCGCGCATCCCCAGGCTGTCTGGGAGATGCCTTCCTCTTTCAGTGGAACCCCGGCCTACTGTACCTCTTCCCCCCTCTCCCCCTCCTACCCTCTGTGATAGCCAAAATAATTGCAGACAACACAGACTGCATTTTGATTGCACCGTGGTGGCCCCGCCAGCCATGGTTCGCACCATTACTTCAAGCCTCCCAAGGCCAATTTCTCCGGCTCCAGCCATCCCCGGACCTTCTCACCATCAAGAACGGCCTAATCCAACACCCAGATCCACACTCCCTCCACCTGACTGCATGGAGGATCAAGCCACACTAGGGCTCTCGGATGGAGTCTCACGCATAATCCTCGCAGCCCAAAGGCCGTCTACTAAGAGAGCCTACGCTTACAAGTGGACCACCTTTAAAACCTTTGCCGAGAATTCGGGCCGAGATGCCTCTCTGGCCTCTATTCCGTTGATATTAGATTTCCTCTCTCACTTAGCCTCCAAGGGTTTCTCCCTTTCATCAGTTAAATGTTATGTAGCTGCCCTATCTTCCTTTAGAAGGAAGGCGGACTTGCCGTCCCTTTTTCAAGATAACCTTGTTCAATTGTTCCTCAGAGGCTACAAAAACCTTTACCCACCTGTTTCCCCCCCTTCTCCTACATGGAGTTTAGAACTAGTTTTATCCCAGTTATCTAAATTCCCCTTTGAACCGATGTCTTCAGCCCATATCTCCCACCTTTCGTGGAAGACGGCCTACCTAGTGGCCATTACATCTGCTAGGAGGTCCAGTGAACTCGCTGCCCTTCGGGCAGACCCCCCATATATCCGTTTTCACGAGGACAAGGTAGTCCTCCGTACGGACGTTACCTTCTTACCCAAAGTAGTGTCTCAGTTTCATATGTCCCAAGACATCACGTTACCGTCCTTTTTTCCTAATCCGACCTCACAGTTGGAGGTCTCACTGCACTCGTTAGATGTTAAAAGAGCACTTTCCTTCTATATACATCGCACAGCATCATATAGGAGATCCCCTAGACTCTTCCTGAAATACAGGGAAGACACAATGGGACACCCAGTAACGTCCCAAAGACTCTCTTCCTGGATCATATCCACTATTAGACTAGCTTACCAACTAGCGGGAAAAGAGCCACCGCTTCACATCAAAGCTCATTCCACGAGGTCAGTCTCTGCCTCTCAGGCTTTCCTTCGGGGAATACCTCTTGACCAAATCTGCAAGGCAGCAACTTGGTCTACGCCTTCAACATTTGCTTCTCACTACAAGCTCGACCTGGCGGCTAAAAAAGATGCAGCCTTTGGCAGAGCGGTACTTTTTTCCTGTGTGGCATGACCCACCTCCAGGTTAGTAGCTTGCTATTCTCTCATATGTGCTCATTTCACAGACGACACGACAAAGAATCATAAGTTGCTTACCTGTAACTGTGGTTCTTTGAGTGTCCGTCTGTGAAATTAGCACGAACCCGCCCATCCTCCCCTCTGGTCATGCCCTGTTTTTCCTTTTTCCTTGGTTGCTGTCTGGCGCTAAGGAACTAAAGTGAAACCACGCCGTGGGGCCTCTTATACGGCCAGGGGGGGAGGGGGGTGGGTGGGCGGGGTTTCTAATTGGTTTAAAAACTTAGTAAAACTCTAGAATATTCCGATTTTTTGCGCAGGCGCACAAGAAGACCCATATGTGCTAATTTCACAGACAGACACTCAAAGAACCACAGTTACAGGTAAGCAACTTATGAATATTTGGCTTCATGGAGAGAGGGAGGGAGAAGGAGCAAGAGGGAGACTGGAATGAGTATAGTATGAAGAAAATGATGCTCCTGCCTCTTAACTTTGTGCTTCTTTCCCACAACTTTGTGCTTCTACCATTTTACAGTTGATCTTTCTTTTTTATTGTTCCATGTGAATGTGCATTTATACATTGTTAATTATAAAGCACATTTTCTTCTTTAAAATCACATAACAAAAAGTGTGGACGGGGGTAATTTGGGGGGGGGCAAGACTGATTAATAGCATTTCAGTGGAAAAATCTACTTAGAGATAAGAGCATTTTGAGTTAAGAGCATGATCATGGAGCAAATTAAACTCTTAAGTCAAAGCATCTCTATATAAAACTCAGGTTTTAGAAAAACTGTATGTAAATATCTGTCAGATTGATCATAGCAACATATCTTGCTAAGATGGAACTCAGACCATGACATGCTATAACAAATAGCTTTCCTGGGGGGTGAGGAATTCAAAAACAGTCATGTTAGTCTAAAATATCAGTGTAAAAAGGCTCTTCTAGCACATTAGAGACTGAGAGTAAATCTGATAGCATAACATAAATTTAGTCTTAATAGTGTTAACTAAAAAGAATGTAAACTCCTGCCTCTTTGGTTGGGCACATGGGGATGAACAGATCGGTAGGTGGACTGATTTAGAATCCCAGCCTTTACTGCTTAAGGTTCCTAGTGACACCTGATGCATTCAAATTAAACCTTTGCATTTCCTGCAATAACAACTCTGAACACAACTGATTTAAAATTAAATATAATTTTAATATAATTTCAAGAAAAAAGTAATCACTTCTGTACCACTTGCATATATTGAAAGAAATATCAAAGATAAGGCACAGCGACAAAAAGAACCTCATGGCAATAAGCCCTTCCCTAGTTCATACAACATTTTTGGCTAGCAAGAGTTAAAGACGTGTTCAATCATAACATTTACTTAATTGTGAGGCCTTAATGGGTTTTTCATCCTTCGCATAGATTTTAACATGGGCATTTGCTAATGGAAATTAACACAATTCTCTAATCCAAAATGGGAACACACTTGGTAAGACTTTTTTAAAAACAGGTTCTGTTGGTCTTTTGGTCAAGCTTGACTAAATCTTTTAAAAATGGGAAAGGGGAGAACCAAGTCATCAATGAGACTTTTAAACCATGTGTCTGATAGGAACAAGGTGGGCAAAGAGTGTACATATGCTCTCTCTGTTTTTTTAGATAATGGAGGAAGGAATCTTGAAATATTTCAGTATTGAACTATAGCCAGGAAGTGCTTGCAGAAGGAGGCGGTTTTGCTGAATACATCCCTTGTGTTATGAGCACACAGTTCTTGAATCCTTTCCTATATCTACAAATATACTGTAAATGTCTTGTGAGAATTAGTATGGATTGCCTACAGAAAAGTGAATTATACAAACAACAGCAGATTCTTAGCAGTCCTTGGTCAGGGGGAAGGGATGTCTAGCTAGACATTCTTCCCACCCTTAGGATTGGCACGGCAGACAGTTCTCAAACTCATTTTGAAAAGTGCTTTGAATACAAATATCAAATTGCACCATTGCAGCTGAGACTGTTTTTCAGGAAACTGGGGAAAAGCTATTTAAGCATTCCTCATCGTCATCAGATGAAGAATTAATTCATTCGGTATTTTGCTCCTGTGAGTTTTATCAGCTTACTACCCTCTCTTCTAACTACATTCACACTGATTAGGTGTGTGCGTGCCGGGAGGGGGGGTCACTTTTTATACCTCAAAATCCTCTCATCTCTATCCAATGGTCTTGCTGCCTAAGAAGATGGAGAGTTGTTATCTCACCAGCCACTGTGTACCGAAGGGGTAGAAAAAGTGCAGCCCAGTATGTAACCCTCAAGCCTTATTGTGTTGCTCTCTAGCATCTCTCTCTCTTTTATGCCAATACAACCACACTCTGTATTCCTCTAGGGAGGAATATTAGTTTAGCAATTTCACTTTATTTTGCCCCATTTGAAGTGTTTTAGGTATATTGGGAGAGCTATTTTTCAAAATCAAGTGATTTCCTCTTGAGACCTGATAGCATGTGAAGCCTCACCCTATGAGTCTAAGGACACAAGTTCTTCATTCCTGACACAAATTAAATATCAAACTTCCTAAATACTGGAATTCCTTCCCTGAACACTTATTACAGCAAGAGACTACATCCAACTACCTAGATGCTCTAGACCTCTTTTACCTAAATAGTGAGTGTGCTTTAGAGGCCTACTAACAAAACTGTCCTTAGCAAGACAGTTTTAAGACACATTTATATACAATTGTTTATTTATTTAAGAGGCATTAACAAAGCCATCTTATTTTATGAGTATGCACATGCAAATGTGACAATAAATTAAACTAAGTCACAAAGATACCTTGTGAGTTAGTTTCAATTAGTCTAATAAGCTTCCACCTTAGTATAATAAGTAACTTTATAAACACCTAACAGACTTTAAATTATAAAGCACAATTATCAGTTTGCAACTGTCAATAAGGCACAAGATGTTCAGGAAAGACATTTCACTTGTTCTGCATAGTTAGGTCAATTTAAGACCCAGTTATTTGCATTTCATAATCTCATAGTAAAATGTCAAAAATTAGCCTTTATTAGACAGATGTCAACTGAAAAGACACTGAAAATTCTCTCTTCCCCAGACTTGAAAATAAATTATATTCCACTTGGCATGCATAAAGGAAACTATACATTTTGACAACTTAAGAAATAAGGAATATTGTTATGCAACATTCTCATTTTTAAGCAGACACAGGAGTAATTTCTTGTTTATTTTCAATGACAGGCAAACAATCTGCTTCAGTTTCAAAATTGAGGTTCACAAAAGTATTGCAAGTGGTAGCTTCTGGCTGGACTGTCTGAACAGAAGTCTCTTCTTGATTCTGCTGTTCCTGAAAACGTCTTTCTGCTTCTTCTGACATCTTGTTCTCTTCCTCCTCCTCCTCTTCCTAAAATGTTGGGGGAGGATTCACATATTTTAGCATATTTCTTAAACATATACTATACTTGAATATTTATTTCAATGAAGAATATCAAATATTCAAACCACTGATTCTATCTGTTGCTATCACACCACTGGGTTTCTGTAGCTCTTTCAAGTTACTATCTGATGGTATGTTGAACAAAAAAGACTAAATTTAACAATGTTTTTCTTAATGAGACACTGGAGGGATAGTGTACTGTCACCAAACAAAACTCATTATATTGAATAGATGTAAAGAAATATTAAAACATTATTTCTTCCACATCTATTACAAGCTGTACAAAGTAGTATTCAAGCACCCAAAGTAGATGTAATAATGCTCTTAAGTGTCATATCCTGTTAGGTTTTGAGAGCTAAGCAGGGTCAGCCCCAGTTAGTAGCTGGATGGGAGACCACTAGTAAATACCAGGTGCTGTAAGCTATATTTCAGAGGAAGGAACTGGCGAAACCGCCTGTGAGTATTCCTTGCCTAAGAAACCCTTTGAAATAAATGGGGTTGCCATAAGTTGACAGGACACTTGAAGGCATAAATCAGTGGTTCTCAACCTTCCTAATGCCACAACCTCTTAATACAGTTCCTCATGTTGTGGTGACCCTCAACCATAACCCTAACATTATGAATCACCATGTAAATAATGATCTGCAGGATGTATTTTCATTCACTGGAGCAAATTTGGTACAAATACCCAGTATGCCCAAATCTGAACACTGGTGGGGTTGGCGGGGGGATTGATTTTGTCATTTGGGAGTTGTGGTTGCTGGGATTTATAGTTAACATGTAAACAATGAGCATTCTGAACCCCACCAACAATGGAATTGAACTAAAGTTGCCACAGAGAACTCCCATGATCAACAGAAAATACTGAAAGGGTTTGGTGGGCACTGACCTTGAGTTTGGGAGTTGTAGTTTGCCTACATCCAGAGAGCACTGTGGGCTCAAACAATGATGGATCTGGACCAAACTTGGCACGGATACTCAATATGCCCAAATGTGAACACTGATGGGGTTTGGGGAAAATAGACTTTGACATTTGGGAGTTGTACTTGCTGGGATTTATAGTTCACCTACAATCAAGGAGCGTTCTGAACCCCACCATTGATAGAATTGGGCCAAACTTCTCAGACAGAACCCCCATGACCAACAGAAAATACTGTGTTTTCTGATGGTCTTTGGCGACCCCTCTGACACCCCTTTGCGACCCCCCCCCCCCCGGGGTCCCGACCCCCAGGTTGAGAAACACTGGCATAAATGTACATGGTGTTTCTCTTCTCAAGATCAAGAACTTGTTGCAGAGTGTTTATTTACTAAAACAAATAGAAACATTTATCTTGGCAAAGAAGGAAAAGGGAAATATCAGATATCTGATAAAAAGACAGGGCTTCTATTTGTTTTTTAGTTTTTAGATGAAGTTGGGATATAATTTTTCCCTTCACTTAAATAACATGAAAATATTTGTTATTGTGATAACAGTCAATCTGAAAGATTTTTAGAGCATAGTATGTTTCCTTTAGAAATTGGGATCTGTTCTAACATTCTGGTAGAAAAATATGGTCCTGATAGATAAAGGGAGCGAATACACCTGAAATAAATTAGAATGTGCTGGCAGTAAAATGGGATTCTTAAATGTTTAAATGCTTTAATGTTTGATTTTTAAAAAATGAGATTAATAGACAATACATTTAAAATGTAAGCATCCAATTCCAATGTTATTAGAAGGATACAAAATACACACCTCCTTCTTCATCCTGTAGTATTCATCTATGGCATACTGGTATTTTGGTGTACTTATTCCCAAAACAGAGGCAATCTTTTCACCAAGGAAGTCACAAACTGAATAAATAAATCACACATAAGTACATGAATATTGCAATGCACAGTTTCCCTTTTTATTTATTTATTTATTTATTTGTTTATTTATTTGGAGCAGTTCTATCCTATCCTTCTCACCTCCGAAGAGGGACGGCTACCAACAGGCACCATTTGGTGCAGAACAATAAAAACAAAGCATAAAATACACAGCATACATCAAAAATAATTATCAACACATTAAAAGAGTTTGCCATTTCATGTCGTCTTCCAAATAAATCCATTGCTGTCAGCTAAATGCAGTCCATTAAAACAATCTATTCTGCGAACGCTTGATCCCATAACCAGGATTGAGCTTCTTCTGGAAGGTCATGAGGGAGGGGGCAGATCTGATCTCATTAGGGAGGGAGTTCCACAGCCAAAGGGCCACCACCGAGAAGGCCCCATCTCTCGTCCCCACCAAACATGACTGTGACAGTGGTGGGACCGAAAGCAGGGCCTCTCCAGACGATCTTAAGTTCCTTGGGGGTTCGTAGAGGGAGATCCGTTCAGAGAGGTAAGCTAGGCCGGAGCCGTTTAGGGATTTATAGGTCAAGGCCAGCACTTTGAATTGTGCTCAGAAGCTAATAGGCAGCCAGTTGAGCTGGCATAACAAGGGGGTTGTACGCTCCCTGTACGCCGCTCCAGCAAGCAGCCTGGCTGCCGAGCGTTGGACTAGCTGAAGCTTCCGAACAGTCTTCAGAGGCAACCCCACATAGAGTGCATTGCAGTAATCTATACGGGATGTAACCAGAGCGTGGACCACCATGGACAAGTCCGACCTCCCAAGATATGGGCGCAGCTGGCACACAAGTTTTAACTGTGCAAAAGCTCCCCTGGCCACTGCCGAGACCTGGGGTTCCAGGGTCAGTGATGAGTCCAGCCTTACTCCCAAGCTGTGAACCTGCACCTTCAGGGGGAGTCTAACCCCATCAATCACAGGATGTAACCCTATACCCTGTTCAGCCTTCCGACTGACCAGGAGTGCCTCTATCTTGTCTGGATTAAGTTTCAATTTGTTCACTCTCATCCCGTCTGTTACAACTGCCAATCACCAGTTCAGGACCTGAACAGTCTCCTTAGTAGCAGATGGGAAGGAGTGACAGATTCGGACATCATCTGCATACAGATGACATCGTAATCCGAAAGTCCGGATGATCTCTCCCAACAGCTTCATGTAAATGTTGAACAACACAGGGGACAGTGCTGAGCCCTGTGGGACTCCACAGTACAATGGCCGTGGGGCCGAGCAGGTGTCCCATCCGGGAACAACCCACCAGGAAGGACTGGAGCCACCGTAAAGTGGTGCCTCCAAGGTCTATTCCCGCAAGGCATCCCAGAAGGATACCGTGGTTTACGGTATCTAAGACCGATGAGAGGTCCAGCAGAATCAACAGGGACACACTCCCCCTGTCCAGTTCCCAGGGTAGATCATCCACTAAGGTGATGAAGGCTGTCTCGGTAACATGTCTCGGCCTAAAGGCAGACTGCACCAGATCTAGATAATCCGTGTCTTCCAAGAACCCCTGGAGTTGCGAGGCCAACACACGTTCCAGGACTTTGCCTTAACAAGCGCAACAAGCTGCAAGGGTTCTTTTTAACTGTTTAAATTTTCATTCAATGTTTGACATGCAAAGGCTAACAACTACACCCATAAGGGAATGAAATAAAAAATGCAGGCATCTTCCAGGGAATTTAACCCCTAGATCCTTACGCCTACAATCATATGAAAAGGTTTGCCTAAGCTGTTCAAAAATAGCTTCACTGATAATTGATTTAACAAGTATGTTTGAAATCGTATCCTATTTAATTTTCCTAGAACAGATAGTTTCATTCTCCTTTTGGTAGTTTCTTGAACTTTTAATACCCCTCTGCCACATAAGCAAAGGAAGAAGCCACAAACAGGGCATGCACAGTGTATAGGCATCAAATACAGACTAGTACAGTCCAGGGTGTGTATATGCATTCCTAACGAACATGTTGTAATATTAAAATGAAAGTATCAAATCCAAACTCACCACAAATTCCTGAAGACGCAGGTTCGCAGCTTGGGTGTGATCTTGGACTCATCGCTGAGCCTGGAACCTCAGGTTTCAGCGGTGACCAGGGGAGCATTTGCACAGTTAAAACTTGTGCGCCAGCTGCGCCCGTACCTTGGGAAGTCTGACTTGGCCATGGTAGTCCACGCTCTGGTTACATCCCGCTTAGACTACTGCAACGCTCTCTACGTGGGGTTGCCTTTGAAGACTGCTCAGAAGCTTCAACTAGTCCAACGCTCGGCAGCCATGATACTTACAGGAGCAGCACTCAGGGAGCACACAACTCCTCTGTTGCGCCAGCTCCACTGGCTGCCAATTTGCTACCGGGCACAATTCAAAGTGCTGCCGTTGGCCTATAAAGCCTTAAACGGTTCTGGCCCAAGGTACCTATCCGAACGCATCTCCGCCTATGAACCCACGAGGGCTTTAAGATCTTCTGGGGAGGCCCTGCTCTCGATCCCGCCTGCAACTCAGGCACGGTTGGCGGGGACGAGGGACAGGGCCTTCTCGGTAGTGGCCCCTTGGCTGTGGAACGCCCTACTCACAGACATCAGATTAGCTCCCTCATTAATGGCATTTCGGAAGAATGTTAAAACCTGGTTATTCAAACAGGTGTTTGAATAGGCAGTGCAATTAATTACAATGAATTATAGGAAATCGGTACAACGGATGACGAGCTTGGATTATGATTTTAGTTATGAGACGCCAGTTAGCTGGTTATTGATGTTTATTGATGGTTATTGATGTTAACTGCTTATTGTATTATTGTGTTAATTGTCTTTTAAATGGCTGTACGATGTTTGTATTGAATTTTTTGCCGCTACTTGTTGTTAACCGCTCTGAGTCGCCTAACTGGCTGAGAAGAGCGGTATACACATAAAGTAAATAAATAAATAAATAAATGAATTCCATACATTTCTTTGAATATCACAGACCAGTGTGAAAAAAATCTCTTAAAAAAAAAAAGCATTTGCTTTAAAAAATATCACTCCAATCTCTCTAGGCTATTGTTCTGCCTACTTTCTTTAGTCTTTTTTGTCTAGTGGTTACTTTAACTGAAAAATACTGAAATGTACTGAAAAGAGGAAGGCACTGATGAATGGGGAGAGTAGCAAGAACTAACAAGCAAGTGGTGGGAGGAAAATTAATTGCAAAAACATTTATTTACTACTTAAAAAACAATGATAAGAAAATGCAGACTAAGCTTCAGTAATCACTGTTCAGAACACAACAACCCACACATGCCACATTAGCTATGTGTATGCCCTTAATGCACATATTGTGTCAGTAACTTTATGATCTTGCACTAAATATGCTGCTATGGAGAGAAACTGCATTCAATGACATGGGCCTATCTTTGAGGGAAAAGAAGCTTTCTGCTTCCAGCTTCCAGGGAACAACATTTTTACTCAGGTTAAAGGTCACTTTAGAGGGCACAGAAAGTTATTTCTGGCACTTTGAAAGTCAAGAGGTTAATCTTGCATTAACTACAGACCACTTCATCAGATGCCTCATGAAAATGATGAATTTCTCCATCATATAGCTATTGTTATTTTCTCATTGCATTTTAACAGCAAAAGCCAGAAAGAAGTTTTGTAATAATTTAAAGACTAACAAATTTTATTTGGTTTTCATAGAGTGTATATTTCATGACTATCAGTCTGCGTCTTTCATAAGTATTCTTATTAGTTTAGCCCTATATACATTCATATGTCCAATAAACCCATACCTGAAAGCGTTGATGTGGCTACTCTTAGCATCTGAAACCACAAATAAGGCCCCCATGTAAGAGTTCCCTGAAAAAAAGTAAGTGTTCAGTTAATTTTTTTGATGCTGACTTCATGCAAAATACATTGAATTTATTTCATTTATATCCATTAAGGTCAAGATGATCCAGAGAGGATTCTGAGGCAGCCTCCTTATAATGCACGGATGAGATCTAGGTCTTCTTGTATTATCCTACACCATTTATAATCAGCTTCTTCCCAAAGATGGGACTCAAGGGACAGTATGTGCTTTCCGACCATGCCTTGCAAGCAATCCTTTGTTTTGCTTGACTTGTGGAAGTAAGTACCACTACTTTGAATAGCCTCTTGCATCATAGTAGCACACAATACTACCACCATGAAAAGATTTGTGGGTAACACACAGCTAATACTGCTAATACTAGACAGAACAAGGCATAATAAACCTTTTGAATATATTTTTGAATATCTTTTGAATATAGCTCAGTTTGGACTGATTTTTCTTCATCTAATTTATACTACTAGAATATAGTATAAATTAGTACTAGAATACCAGACTACATGTAAAAGCTATTAGTAGTTGAACATACAACAAAATGATCTTATAAGAAACTTCCCTTCTTAATGAAAGAAAAGTAAGTTACATTGCAAGTATTTTGTCAAAATCTATATTATAAAGCCTCGTAAAGAAAGCTTTGGTAAATAGTTAATGAATGCTTATATTTCTGAGCAGTTTAAATAAAGAACAAATGCCTTTCTCGGTTTTATTCCATTATGCTTCAAACACAGTTGCACTCTGTATTCTAGTATACTCATCTTGTGTTGCCTTGCTTGCAATACAACCCATCAGCAGTATTTCTCTTTGATTTGTGTGCAAATTGCTGCTCAGAGAGATGCCAAGTTTTCTGAGCTTTGCTTCATTAAATGCTAAATTCACTGCATTCAGAGCAAAATGCTTCAACACAAATATACAAGTAAACAAAAATAGCACTGAAAATGATGACCTAGTTTTATATTTCTGTCAGAAAAAGCTTTGCGCGCACACGCGCACACACACAAACTACTATAAATAATATCTTGATTCTTTATCTAAAAATATATTGAGACAAGCCTCTTGTACTGGAAGCTTTCTCAAAACAATTTTATATCCAAATACTCCTGGATGTTTCTGGGAACAGAAACATTTTTTTTAATGTGCCAC